AGGGAAGGGAAGGGAAGGGAAGGGAAGGGAAGGGAAGGGAAGGGAAGGGAAGGGAAGGGAAGGGAAGGGAAGGGAAGGGAAGGGAAGGGAAGGGAAGGGAAGGGACAATAGAAAGGTAGGTCAGGCGTATAGCACAAGCTCTGTGGTCTAGATATTCAAGATTATTCTTTTTTTTGTATTTATCCATAGTGATTAGCTACAGAGTTTGGAACCTGTTCTGACTGCCAAAGGAAACAGAGAGCATTTTGACAATATTCTGCTTGAAATATATCTTTAACTCTTCCTAATGCATTTTAACACACTATGAACTTACTCAGATGGCTAAATACTTTCCCAGGGAAAGTATTTAAGGTCTATTGGTTACCCTTTTTTTCTGCAGGCATAGGAAGGAGTTGAATGGAAAGGAAGAGAAATCCTTAAACAATATACTCACTGTCCTCCAGAGCCTTTCACCAGATATTGGAGCGTTCGCAATTTCTGCAGTCAAAATGACAACAACAAAGATATCTGACCCACAACAGATTTTCTGCTTTAAAAAATCTTGAATTATATCTTGTACTACTTACTTCCATCCCTTGCAGCGATGGTGCTTTTTGATGCCAAGATCAGTGTAAGGACATCAGTGTATCATTGAGTTTCAACTAATGCATCATTCTGGAGTGTCCATTAGCCCAAAATAATGTTGTTGGGATCCATCTATTGCAGAAGCTGCATGATAGTATATAAAAGTGTTTAGGGCTTGGGGATATTTAATTTCTAAAGAGAAAGAGGGAAGATATTTTTCTTTTTTTTTGTTTTAAATTAAAAATAACTTATTCCCATAATTTACTTCTAAATATCCAAATATTATCATCCAAATAGGAACAAATGACAAACTGTAGCTGGAAGAGACTGCCATATCTTCTCTCCATTCCATAAGAAGCAGAAAACCAACTCAGTGTACCTCCGTAAAACACTTAAAGTAAGTAATAATAGAGTTTTGTCACTAAGATTGTTTTCTATTGCAGCCTGCACCACTGAAAATGCAGACATAAGTCTTTTATAATGTTTATCCAAGTGACTCAGTTAAATATTCTTAAGCTCCTTAAACAGTAAATACTTAAAAAATTGTCCATGGAGACTACTTCAATCTCAAACAGCAAGTTCATAAAGTCCTCCTACACAGGGCAACAGGAGCAGAAAACACTCTGCTTAACACTAGAAATACTCTTGCATGGAGTGTTTCTCTCCCAGATCTCAGGAACAATGCCAAACTGCCTTTTGAACTCTCAAATTTATGAGCAACTCTTTCATGTTTCTTGAATAAAACCAGACTTTAACATATTTGATTCTTGGCTTCACAACATCAGGCATTTGCAGCTAACCTGAAATTAAATTAATTAATAAACAAGTCCTTCAGGTACAGAGTTCATCATTCAACGATCCTCATCCTCAAAGTTTTACTCCCTTCAAAGATAGCTTAGCAATATTCCTAGGATTACAGCTAGATATCAGGCTTTTTTCCTGCGTGTAAAAATACAGGTTGTTGTCTATATTTTCTTATACAGCAAAAGTATAAGTGCCTCATTAGACACTGACATCAGTGAAGACAAGATATTTCCTTATCCAAACTCACTGAATTTTTAGAGGCCTGGGAATTGTTTTCTAGCCTGGGTGATGGAACTTTTCTTTTTTACCTTTTAGAAAATATGTGTGATTCTCAATTAATTATTCAATTATAGGAAAGAGTTGATAAGTTTTTTTACAGATAAGTTTAGGAAAAGTTTTCTTCCCCCTTTTCTTATCAATAGCTCCCAGGTTGCATTAATTAATTGTTATTAAAAGCTTCCATAATCTTTTAATATCTTCTACAGAGCCAGTATTTCTCCTTTTATTGAAAGGACTTAAATTTTTGTCTTTATTGAGCTGCAGGGCCTGGGAGGGGAGATGTTTTTATGTGCTTTTTGAGACTTTATGGGGATGTGGTCTTACATAAGCTGAATCTGTCATATGGTGTGAAGAGTCTTATAATTTCCACATACACACTTTTGATTAAGCAATATCCTTTATAAAAAAGTAATTACAGTTTCTCTTTCTTTGCTTTTGTGGCAAGCATAAGTCCAGTACAAGAAAAATCGATTTAAAAACTTCACCCTTCCTTAAAAGAATCCATTTCTCTGCCATCCAGGGGAAACCTGCAAAATAGGACAAAATGGCATCATAAAATTAATTAATGGTGTGAAAGAGATTTCTGTACTAAAAATCTTCATACCATGTATTTCAGTGGTTTATGTGATCCATGGGAACATGTGAAGATAAAGTGTTCAACTCAGTGTAGAAGGGGAAAACGAAGGGTAACTCCAAAAACAAAAAAAAGAGCTGCACATTTTTCTTTCAGACATTCAGTACTTATCACTTGTTAGTCTTCTTAGTGAAGATAAACTATGAATAGCATCCATGTGCTAGAAATAGCAAAATATTTTGAGTTTCATCCTAAATTCAACCTAACACGTTAAGGGTATTTCAAAGAAACCACCAACTGAGCATTAATACCACTTAATTTTGCACTAAATAAAAATATATGTCCTTTTAATGTGGCTTGCCAGATGCTTCTTTCAGTTCAGTATTTGACAATATTTACATGGTTTCTCCTCTTTCTGCCTTGTTCCAGTCCTCCTAATATTTTTGCAATAAATATCCATGAGAAGGTACTTCTGTGTTTTATTTAATGTCACTTCTGAGAGTCTGTGTTACACTGCTGCACTGCAAAGATTTTTGCCTGGTCAGGAATCAATATCATTCCCATTTACTAAAAAAAAAAGAAAATAGAATAGCCACATAGAGGATCCATTTATTTTGCCCAGAGCAGGGTGATTTAGGAGCATGGTACAGCACACTGGTGCTTTTGACCACTACTGTGTAATTCTGCACAGAATATCCTGTGGGATATGTCACCTTGGACTGAACTATCGGTGCATCAGGAGCATGAGTGTTTGCCTCTGTTCAGGTGTGGAATGTCTTCCAACCTCTCTTCATTTTCCATCCATGGGGTAGAACAGGAAGGTCGTGACTGAACCTTGTCATGCAACCAAGCTGTGCTGGCCATCTCATGATGTGCCATAAAATATCACATATAAACTCAACATTAGTAATGTTAGATTATTTCCTGAACACTGAACCCATTCACCTTCTGGAACTACTCACCTTCCTTCTGAATCATCTGTATCATAGAGAGATTCTCATGGTAACTTGATACATAGAAAAAAACATATTCAGATTACTTTGAATTGCAGCGTTTCCAGACCTCCTGAGGGATCAGATGATGATGCACGTGTAGCTATGCAGCATTACCACATTTTTCACCCATGTATACAATCATGACAGCTTGCCAGGAATGTGGAAGGAGCAGTCCATTAAGGAGCATCCTGGAAGAGGCTCTTGGAGTGCCAGGACAGGCAGACGGGAGAGGCAGAGACACAGTCACTCTGTTTTTAACGCAGCTCAAACACTTCAGTCTGGGGACCTGGTACAAGCAAAGCAAGTGAATCAGCTGAGAAGTAGCTCTAGGAAGGTATTACAGTGTATTTCAAGAATAAAACAAAAAAAGAGAGAACTGGAAGAGAATCAAGAATTATTTAAGATTGCCCTTGAGGCAATCAAGGTAATCAAGTTAATAACATAGGAAATTGTAGCATGTGGCTCTGGAAATGTAACGGGGAAAGTCTGGGATACAAAGCTAAGTTCCCAGACCCAACTACTGTAAATTGTCTATAAAGAGAAAAGTCTGCCTTTAAAACCAAAAAAACCCCAATCCCAAATACCCAACAAACAGCTAGTTAGGTACCCTAAAAAAATATGGCATTAACTTATTACCACCATCTAAAAGATTTCCATTTAAGAGATAGTTTTGTTAAATGATACAACTGGGAGAAAACCTGTCTAGAATTTTCCTTCCTGTTGGTTTGAATTCTGAACACTTGCAAAGGATGCAAAAGGGTCCTGTAGACTGGAATTCCTCTGTTATTCCTCCTGCAGCTTCTTCCAACACAGGAACCTGTGTGCTTAGCATTTCAGGTATTTCAAGTGTTGTGGGAGACTGTTAAAATTCAGTTTAACAATTTCCAACACATAATATTGGCTAAATGGAAAAGGTTTCGCACAGCATGTGGAGATGTCTCATAATTTCCAGGTACTTCAAAGATACTTACATTCTTCCCATTCAGGACAACTTTTCACACATCTCAGAACTAAAATAAAACAATGATATTTTTAAACAATTAGTATTTTTTATGGGAACTATATGGCATAAAAAACTTACAATGTTTGTGGTGCTTCATACTTCTGGGAGGAATGACCTGTATTTCTCACTTATGTTTTCACTCTTAAATAGAATAACCATAACAAATGGGGAACAATTAAGTCTTAATTTGTTCCAGGAGGCAGCATTGTGAATTTTCTTTTTTTGTGAAGAAAACTGAGAAAATCTAAAGCTAATCAGTGCAGGTTGCCCATAGATAATCAACACAATGTACATTAAAAAAAAAAAGAAATAACATAAAAAAATTACAGTGAAGGACAAATAATTCTAAATCAACATTAGAAAGTATTTTAAACAATGGCTGCTGAACCCTTAGGAAACAAAAGATTGTTGCACCATTAATTAGGTTTGATTGAATTGGAGGTCTTCCTGATGAATCATTGTTGGATTTTTGTACATTGTTGTGGAAGGATCTTTTCTGTATAATTATTGTTAAAGGCAGAGTGTATAAAAGGACAAATAATTCTTGTGTAGAGACTGGGAGTTCATGATGTACTGGAATGTAGCAGAACAGAATATATCAAGATAAAGTTGTAGGAAGCATATATTTGATGTTGAAAGCTTTTATCTGTTGTTCAGTGTATCACAAAATGCCCTTCCCTCTTCAAAATAATTCAGGTTTTTTAACAATTTTTCTTAATCTTGTTTTACTATAAACTTATTTCCTATATATGATGCTTTCATGGAAAAAGGGAAGATATTCACCACACAAAATAAAGGAGAATAAATATGAACCAATGGGCATTGTTTTGCAAGGATAAAACAGGTTTTAAAAAAATAAGAAATAAGATTTCCTTATGCTGTGTGGGTTTATAGCCAATGTGGAAGAATGTCTTTCTCTTTTATTTATATATTGTATGTCTGCCAGAAACATCCTCAACTTTGTCCAGTGAAAATGGGCTATGGTTTTCCACATTGTTTGCATTTGGTTTTAATTTGATTGAGTGCTCTGCACACCTATTTTAACACCATGTGTTAGGATCATTTGTGTGTGGATTAAGAGATGACAAGATATAGTCATGTTAAGGGAGGTTATCAGCCAACTATCAATCAATCAGCCTTTCAAAGAACAACAGAGATAAAAGGCTGGCAAATTACAGGTGTTGGTAAATACATATTCTCTATTCAACACATTTATTAGCTTTCTGCCTTTAAAAATTACTTAAGTAAAATCAGCTTTTTACTCTTCATTATTCCAGCTAACTTCCATGGTGTTGAATGAAAATTAATTCCCTCTGCTTAAATTTCAAGGAAGTATTTTGACCTTTTTTTACTGGAATATCTATCCCTTATTTTGACTTTTGGTTTCCTTGATTGTTTGTAATAACAGGTGTCTCTTTCTTGCAATCAAATGAAACAGCATTTTTAAGTTTCAGTGCTTGGGAAAAAAAGGATGAAAGATGTTGTAAATGTCCTTACAGTTTAGGCGAAAAAAAACCAAATGCATGTGTCAATTTTTTAATTGAAGAGACTATCAAATTAACAAAGGTATCAAAGATGGGAGGAAATTGCTTTTTCATTGCCATTGTGTATGATACTGCATGTTTTAAAAGATTGGTTTTTGCTTGGAGCAACCTGGTCTAGAGACAGGTGTCCCTGCCCTTGGCAGGGATGGATGATCTTTAACATCCATTACAATCCAAAATATTCCAGAATCAATGATTCCATGAAACAGAATCATATAAAGAGGAAATATTGTCTTAAAAGAGTGAGCTCAATGGGTAACTTTTTCAAGTTGATGGAAATGAGAGGTAATAAACCCAAAAAACATGCTGCAAACCGGATATATAAAACATCTGAAGTTCAGCCAGACATTAACTATGGATTCCAGTAAATGGTGATCATCTAGACTGTTACAATAGTATCTATTATTTTTATTAGAGATTATATCAATGACATTATGTGTAGTAGTTTAGTCTTTAAAATTGCTGGCTAAATGTTTGTTTCTTGCAAGTCATCAAAGTGTTAATTTTAACATTTGTCCATGGATACACCTCTTTTGTCACTGTAGATAAAGGCAGAGAGAAAGGTTCATTTTGCTTTTTCTGTGACCAGTAAGTCTATTTACCAAACGTATTACATTTCCATTTCAAAAGCATCTGCATTAAAAAACAATTTAAAAAAATAATTCCTTTGTAAGCAAAAGGACTAATTAAGCCTAGTTTTCTACATGTGTTGTGGAGTCTTTTTGTTTGATTTGTGAAAATCAACCGCAGTGTCTGCATGACACTCCATTCATGATGATCTCTGTCCTCTGCTATAAAGCCAGACTGCAGATCATCGTGTCACTCCCTTCCAATAATTTATTATTTCTCTCCATATCTCAGTATTTCAGTCCCCTTTAAATTTCCTCCCCCTTTTAATTTCCTTGGTCTTTGATGATATTTCTAGGTCCTTTGATATTTCCATGGTCCTTCAATTAAAAGGAGCCTATGATTTTTCTCCTGCTTGCCATGATAATACCTACAGTTTTATTTTTATTTATTTTTTATTTTTTCTTTTTCGTGGAGAAAGACCTCCTTACCCCTGTACTCTCATTATTCTGCATCCTCCCACCAGTGTGAGCAATTGCTGCCTAAATTATGTGTATGTTTTTCTGCCTATGGAGAAAAAAAAAAAAAAGTCTTTAGTTGGCAGCTGATCTTCCCAGTGTTTTAGGACAGTCATCCATCTTCCAAACAGCCAGACTGCAGAAGTTATTTTGAATTGTTGAAGAGAAAAATCCTGGAGTTACTGTGGGAGCATGGCCTTCCAGAAGTCTTATACCCAACAAGAAAATGGGGTAAGAAATATGTATTAAAGAAATATGTTTCAGCATCTTGTTGAAACAAACAACAGTACAAAAAAAACACAAAAAAACCCCCAAAGCAAAACCCCAAACCAACCAAATCAACACATACACACACACACGCACACACACACAGAGCAAACAAACAAACAAAACAAACCACAGAAGGACTGAGGAATTTTGGAGGAATAAGAGTAAAACTTTGGGTGACTTCTGGGCAGGATTTGGTGCCATTCAACTCTAGATTTTCCGAAACTTAACAAACAAATTCTGTGTTTGCAATCCAAAACAAATAGGCTAAACCATGCGATTTTTTATTCCAAAAATTGAAAGGAGTTTATTATTCAGAACATCATTGATATGTGATAAATATAAAAATAATTACAAATACTGTAAACTAGAGAGATGCAGTAAATTTCCCTTGTGCAGTTCAGCTTTGGGAGTCTGAGGTGGATCAGGTACAAGTGTAGTTTTTTACTCTCTCTAATGAGCACATGTGTCATTGCACATGTGTAAAGGGTGCATTCTTCAACCTCATAACAAAATAACAGCATCTGTAGATCAAAATCACGGAATGGTTGAGGTTGAAAGGGGCCTCTAGAGATCATCCAGTCCAACCCCCTGCCAAAGGCAAGGTCACCTGGAGCAGGTGACAGAGAGATGTGTCCAGGTGGGTCTGGAACGTCTCCAGACAGGGACACTCCACATCCTCCCTGGGCAGTTGATCCAGGCTCTGCCACCTCCATGGAAAGAAGTTCTGCTTCATGTTGAGGAGGAACTTGTTGTGTTTGAGTTTATGGCCTTTGTTCTTCATCCTGTTCCTGGGCATCACTGAACAGAGTCTGGCACCCCTTGGGGATATTTGTGTGGATTGATGGGAACTCCTCTCAGTCTTCTCCTCTCCAGACCAACCAGCTCCCACAGTCCCTGCTCATCAGAGAGATGTTCCAGACCCCTCATCATCTCTATGGCCTCTGCTGGACCCTCTCCAGTGTCTCCTGGTCTTTCTTAAACTGTGGAGCCCAGAATTGGACACAACACTCCAGATGTGGCCTCACCTGGGCAGGCCAGAGGGGCAGGATCCCCTCCCTGACCTGCTGGACACGGTCTACCTGATGAACCCCAGGATCCCATTGTCCCTCCTGGCCCCCAGGGCACTGCCAGCTCATGGCCAACTTGTCACCCACCAGGACCCCCAGGTCTTTCTCCACAGAGCTGCTCTGTAGCAGGTCATCCTCAGCCTGTGCTGGTCTTTGGGGTCATCCCTCCCGAGGTGCAGGAC